AACTGTGGCAGTTTGTAATAAAAGACAGAAAAGAAAGAAAAGAAACAAGCAAAAATGGCATTTTCTTCAATTCAGCAATGCTTGTATAGAAACAGTTCATATTCAGCACTGTATTTCTATCTGTTGTGCAAAGTGGCTCTTCCAAAGTTAGGCCTTCCCAAATGGAGATCAATTTAGCCAAAAAAAAAAAAAATTACCCCTTCAGATCAAAGTTTTCAACAGTACTGGTTGCAATGTGATGTTGCTCCTAGTATTTTTCCAGCTTTATTTCAGGTTCCTCTTTTTGTGCACTGTACCCATTTTAGTTCACGTATTGAAATTCATAATCTAGCACTTTACTCACCACACTACACTGGCTACTATTTAGTAACAAATGATAATGATATTTTAAATAAACTAGAAAGAGAAAGCATGTGTTGATTCCAATGAGGCTCAAAAGTTTAGCTCATTTCCATTTCCCTTTTTTCTCTTTTAGGATACAAAAAAACTACAGCACTTGGTAAGTAATTACATGGTGAGATATTTCAAAATGTAGCCAGTGCTCTTCTGGTTTCATGAATGACAAATATTTATTTACTTATTGTTACAATCTGTTCATAATTCATACATGGTAGCTTGACATGATGTATTCTGACTGCCCAAATAGTGAATTCTATAGACAAGTGAGGTCTTGAACTTTAGTTTTTCCAATTTCAGTGTAATACCTTAAACGCTATATTACAGTGGAATTGGAACATTTAAGGTTCAGTATTATGTAAAACTCAACATGTTGAGTGTGGTAAACTTTTCTTTCTCTAGTGTTGATATAGTTGGAGTTGTCACTGAATTTAGACTTTAGCAGCTGTCTTAATTGAGAGTTTATTTTTCTAACTTCTCACAGAAACTTCATTTACACCTTTTAAAAATACAGGAATTTCAGCAACTTAAATATTTTTCATACTTTACCGCTAAATCACCTTGGACAAAAAAAATTTTTTCTTATTGGCTGTTCTATGAAGTGGTGAGGAACCGAACTGCTTTGCAATTGATGGAAAGCTTTACAGTTCTCTTATTAACAATTTCCTGAATCTTTATCAGCATGTGAACTAATGCTTACATGTCAACAAAGGCAGTCCAAATACATATAAAGGCCTTCATGTGAATGGAATCCTGGTAGTGAAAATTGATTGACATATTTAGATGTGCCAAAACTCATTATCAGAATCCTAGCTCACAACGAAGTCAAAACTCCCAAGAACCCAATCTTACTGCAGATTATGTAAGAGAAATGAAATAGACAAAATCCTGCACTTATTCAGGCTGTACCTGAGAAATAAAGATATTGATCATGAAATCAAATATAAAAAGTTATGTTACCACAAGAACATTAATGTGGAAAAAATTCTGCTCATTCAGAAGAGGAGTTTCTATGATTTCTGCCAAACATCCTACCTGCTTTTCTGAAGGAGCCTTTGTTCTTGAGCTACTTTCAATAGAGGAGTAAGGGGGCATGTAGAGACCAAACCTCTGCCCCACTAAATTGGACTAAGTTTCAATTTTCTGAAGGCAAAGACTGAATAGGGCAGGGGTCTGTAGTTCATGGACTAGCACCAAGCAGCAGCATGCCAGAAACCAGGATGAGCAAACAAGTGAAGTCCCATCCATGGGATGCAGGCAGCATACAAAACCATGCCCCTCCAGTCCTTGGAAAAAACTTTCTCCACAGAACCAGTTCCTGGTGCCCAAAAGGTTGGGAGTCACTGGAATAGGATATCTATCTTTGGCTATGTGCTAATTAACCTTTTATAAATAGTCTAAAGGATGGAACAAAATCACAATTCAAAATAACTGGAACCCCTGATGTTTAGGAGTTACAAATTAATGTTCTGCATTTAGGTAGGAAAAATCATAGATATGGATACTGTATAGGACAGGGAAGACCTGGCAGGGAAGTACTGAGTGTGAGAAGAGGAATGGGACAATTTGCTACAGCCAACTTGCTGCAGCCAACGTACTATGGCCAACTCGCCGCAGCCAACTTACCATGGCCAACTTGCTGTGGGACAAATTTAACAATTCTATTTAATTATTTCAAATAAATAAAAAATATTTTAATGTTTGCCATTCACATTTCATTCTGTCTCTCCTTTTGCATCCTTTCTTTAATGATTCTATTCCACCATTTCATTGATATTAGTATAACTCTTGTTCCACAGTGAGTTGTCCTGTGGTGAGTTGGCCATGGTGAATTGTCATAGCCTTGTGAGAAGGATCTAGAGATTCTGGTAAAGCATTCAATATGAACAAGCCATATGATGCAACAACTGCTGGGGTCAACAAATTCTTGGGCTGCATTCACCTTTATGTCCAGATTCATAGGAAGTAATAGTACATATGTGCTAATCAGATTGCATTTGGATTACTGCAATAAGTCTTGAGCATCACAATTTGTGAAGTTTAGGGAAACCTGGAGTAGGGTTGGAGGATCTAAAAATGAAATCTTATGAAGAGTATGTAGTCAACATCTCAGTTAGATTGAAAATGTTTTCTCTGTCCCAGGATGTTTAGATCAGATACTCTAAATAAAACCCATGTTTGGTTTATGTTCATCAACATACACAAATCTTGAAATTTTCCTTATAAATCCACAATGGTATAAAGCAAGCAGAGATATTGCTTTTGGCAGTCCTATCCTTTTATACCTGTTTGGAAAAGAGGCCTAAGCTACCTAGTATCTCCTTGGTGAGATGGACGGCATAGAAGTTTAATAATAAATAAATAAAAGTAAATATGAATGATAGCAAAATGATTAAAGAAACTCACAGAATTCTTCTTCCAGTCCTTTCTTCTTAGTAGTCTTACTCTGTTATTCTTATTGGAAAATCTGAAATACCTAATGGAAGGAAAAACAGCAAGCATATACGTGGCATTTTTCCCAGACTATCCCTATTAGATCTATTCTGTTATGTTTATAAAACATACACATTCATACATGTTCTCCCCTCCCCTCCCCTCCTTTTCCTTCCGTTCTGTCCATTTTCCATTCCCCTCTCTTCTATTCTTCTGACAATGTTATCACTGGAAGTGGCAAGCTAAAGTTTTTGACCCTATGCAGTAGTGGTGATAGGAGGATAAATGTGTAAAGGGGCAATACAAGTACTTGTCCATAAGTCTCTCCAGCCAGTGGTGGGATTCAAATTTTTTTTACTACCTGTTCCTGAGGGCATGGCTTAGTGGGCATGGCAGGGGAAGGATACTACAAAATCTCCAATCAGAGGTGGTATTTGCCAGTTCTCCGAACTACTCAAAATTTCCGCTACCAGTTCTCCAGAACTGGTCAGAACCTGCGGAATACCACCTCTGTCTCTAGCCCAATTTGGGGTTATTTTATTTTTTAAGGGAAACTCAAATATGAAAAATCATCTTTCTAATTCCTCAAAATTGGGCAATACTTTAGGAATCACTTATCCTGTGAGGTAAAAAATGGTATTGAATGTTGTATGAAACTCCTGCTTCATTCTTGCTTCAGGCAAAAAGTTTTGAATTATTTATTACCACTTTTTTCCTAGGAAAACTAATCTTCCTCCTGGCTCTTCTGTATAATTGCTGGTGAAGTCATGAAATCAAACATATGGGAAATCTATCAAGATTTTATTTTATTATGTTGAGTATCTGCTTGATTTATTTATTTTATTTCATTGCTAAACATAAAATACAAACTCCTTAAAACCATTTATCTGTTGGTTTGTTTATTGCATTTATATTCCATATTTTTTTCTGAAAGCAGGAATATATGGGGTCACCCCTATTTTATTCCTCAAACAGCAGCCTTGTTAAGAAAGTTATACTGAGAATGACTTAGCAAGGGTTAACTCACAAGTTCCACATTTTTAAAAATACTTTATTAAATTTCATTAAACTACAAAAAAGTGAGGGATTCAAAAAGGTAGAAAGGTTAAAAAGTGAAAAAAGAAAAAGGAAGGGGAAAAGTGAGGAAAGGCTTCCAACCATACAGATACAAATATTTAATCAAATATATTTCCTTACTAATATAACCATAACAAAAGAAAAAAGTCCCGTATTTCCTCCATTTTATTGATCCATTATAACAAAAATCCCACCTCAAAGACATGCATCTTACATTTGTATATACATTTATCTCATAAAAAATACATTTCACCAAAAAATTCATTCCTTGGATCTACATAATTATCAATAATCAAAATTAATATTATACCCAATCTTACAAAATTAATCTGACATAAAGAAGAAAGTATTTTGTGTGAAAAATGTAGATCTACCAGAAAAGATGGAAAAGTATATGAATATAAGAAATTCTGAGATAATTGAATAGATGAAGGATGGACCAAATTTTCTTGGCAAGAGGAATGCTGCGCTGCCAAGGAGAATTATTCAACAATGGATGTTGCAGAGATATTTACAATAGAGACTTATGAACTTTGGAAATGAAATGCAATTGTTGGGAAAGTTCCCAAATAAAAATGTAAAACAATATTTCATTACTATTTTTTGCTTTCATATATGTAGTGTAGAATAGGTCAATTGAGTTGCAAATAGTTGTAGAAGCTCAAATTTTGCCTCTGTTTTGCAAGGGAGGAAGCTGTTGTAATAGATTTGTCAGTGTTCAACTAGACTAGAGCAATAATATGTGTTTTTGTTCTTTTAATCCACTTTTTAATGTATTTGTCTAATTTTGCCTCTGTTTAATTTTCTTCTTTTGGGCTTTGTATGTCAATCTTTTCAATAAAATAAAAATTGCAAGAAAAGAAAGAAATAAGTAGATCTTTGAACAAGATATAGTTGCCATTTAATCTGATGAAATACAGTCCTTATTTGGTATACATCTAGTAAAATAAAATGAAATAATAAATAATAAAACCAATCTGTCAATCAAAAGGGCACCAGTGATGGTCAGCAGAGTTCAGTGGTCCAAAAAGGGGGCATAACTGACAAATAACCCTAAGTTATGCAGAGGCCTGAAGTAAGAACAGCAAGTCCAAGTTGTCTCCAGATTGCCACACTGTTTATTTACAGTAAGGATTATTTAAGTCCCTGGGTAGGGCTGTATGCACACAGACTGTTTGTTGTACAGCAAGAACAAAGCCCAAGGATATAATTGCTATGTTAACAAGTAAACAGACTGGGCATTTCTTTCAAAGATAAGTTCAATTCAAGTTCACTTAACAAATGTGGCAAGAAAGGTCATAAAATAGGGCAAAACTCACTAAACACATTTCTCATTTAGCAATGTAAATTTTCAGCTCAATTGTCGCAAGTTGAGGACTACCAATCTAGTGACCATTCGAAGTTACAATGGCATTGAAATAAGTTGCTCTGCAACTGTTCTTCTCACTTATCATCGTTGCAGCATCCCCACAGTTCCCCGAAGGTGCTTGGTAGTCAATATGTATTTACAACAGTTGGAGTGTCCCAGGGTCATGATCATATCATCATTTGCCATCTTCTCAGCTGGCTTTTAACAAGCTGAATTCACTTTATGACTGCCTGTTTCACTTAACAACTGCACTGATTCATGGCAAAAAATTTCATAAAAATCAGGCATGACTCATTTCACCCTCACTTAACAATGAAAAGTCTAGTCCTATCTGGTTGTAAGTTGAGAACTATCTTCAGCGAACAATTAAAATTTATTTAACAACATATCAGAAATATTAGAGGATGTAAATTGTCTAATGAGATTCACCAACAGAATTATCTATAGTTTGGACAAAGTTTTGAATAAAAGGCCACCAAGTGATTGGTGTGATATTGGCTATATTGATTACCCAAAATTGTTCCATTAATTAATTTAATCAACGTACCATCTTAACAAACCTACCATGCCAAGAAAAAAATCCAATGCCAAACCACAACCTAAAGAGAAAGTAATCCCCACCAATGAACCACAAGACTCCTGCACATGCCTTAAATACTACAAAACTCTTAAAGGATAATGAAAACTCCATCAAATGTTCTCTATGTAACAAATACGCTCATCATGACTGCTTGGGATTACCCAAGCAAATGATTCAATACCTAGAATCATCCAATGAGTTTCCATATCTCTGCAAATCATGCAGACCCAAACTGGATCTGTTTGAAAGAGTTGATACCATAGAAACACGAATAACATCCCTTGACACCATAGTAGCATCCCTGGACACCTTAAAAGAAAGATTATCCAACCTTGAAAAAAAAGACACAACGCAAAAACCTGAACATCCAATAGCTACAAACCACATCTCGACCCAACAACCACAACCCAATCCACAACCCAATCCACAAAAAACATAAGCCAGACAAATAATGATATCCCAATCCTTATCAGAGAAGCTGTTGAGCGTGAACAGAAACGTCCAAACGCCATCTTATTTGGTCCAGAGGACATCAATGATAATGATGACATCACAACTGTCCGAAACATCATCAGTGATTATCAAGCATCAACCATCTCCCCTGATGAAATACTTTACGTTTGCTTGATTCATTTTTGCAAATGACCCTGCAGAAGCATGGGGCCACAGAGCCGTCTCTGTTTTTGAGCTCTCAGCCAATGTGGATTTAGATGGCTCTGTGGCCCCATGCTTCTGCAGGGTCATTTGCAAAAATGAATCAAACAAACGTAAATTCATTTACACTATAAATTCACTCGCCAAAACCAACACCAACCATAAGAACCACCGTTGTCTCCCTGACCTAACCATACAGCAACGTGCCTACTCTCATGTACTCCGCACTGAACTCAAAAAACGTCTAGACAATGGAGAGAAGGACCTGTACATTGACTACCATGCTGACCGTATCAAAAGTAAGTCACACAATCCGCAACTCAGCTTTAACCTTCAACCACAACCCTACCTCAACCAATCCACCATCACCCAAGACTAGGCATGCATACCCCTAATTACCTCAATTCCAACTACTGCTGGCCTTAAATGCAAGCTACTCAATGAAAGAAGCCTTGCAAATAAAATACCTGAATTTTTCCTCTTACTAAATATGGCTAAATTCGACATCATATTTGTCTGTGAAACATGGCTCAACGCATCTCTCCCTAACTCCATTACCACAAAAAAACATCTAAAAAACATCCAAGTTACCCAGGAGCTTGCTCTTCCTGAGACCATCATGTGTGAACTATCCTTAAATATCACATTTCGATTCTTACTATGTTACAGAGCACCTGATTATGACATCGAACATGTAAACAAGCTAAATACACGACTAACATGGGCAGCATCCTGCCTACACACTTTTATCTTTCTTGGTGACTTCAATCTACCTCATATTGACTGGACCCTAAATGAATGTACAACTGAACCCATACATGCAACCTTCTACAATGCTGTTACAAATCTGGGACTGGAACAACTAGTAACCAACAACACTAGACTAAACAACTGCCTCGATCTCATCTTCTGCAATAGTTTGAATTTAATTTATGGAATACAAACTAAAGAACCCTTTTCCTGCAGTGACCACAATATGATTGACTTTTTTTTTTAAACAAGTTTTATTAATTCTTCAAAACATACAATACATACATATACAAAAACACAAAACATAAAAGCATAAAAAATCTCTTTTCTGAAAGTTGCTTAGTCCCGGGTTATAACTCTTGGTACAGACACAAATTCAAATTCATATTCCTTTTATATGCCATTTCATATCTTATTAACATTTTCAATTTTCAATATAACTTCTCCTCTCTTTTAAATTTTCTCAATTTTATTTTATTTATCTCCTCTCAATTCAGATCATAATATTTATTATTCTTTGTCTGTTCTATTTCCAGCCATCCATTTATTTTTCTTCTTTAAAAAAGAAGAAAAAACTTCTCCTGTACACTATATGGAGTATGATGCCTTTATCTCTCTCCCCTATATTTATAATACTTAATATAAAACACATAACTTACATTGGGATTCTGTCTGGTACATTCTAAAATTATACTATGTTATCAAAAATGATACAAATCTATTCATTAGTATTGATATACATTTATATCTTGAACGTTTAACACATTACTTTTCAATTAAATCACATACTTTTATGGGAGCCCTATTTTCCATAATTATTCTCCCCCCCCCACATCACATATTATAGCTCATTATTTCATTACAATGTTCCTCCTTCTTCTACTTCAAATCTCTCATTTCACAAAAAAATTCGCTAATATATCATATTCTGATCATTAATATTAACAATAATTTATATCTTAAACATTTTATCCATTTCAATTAAATATCATGCCTTTGTGGGAACAATTATGCTTTCCAAAAATTATTACACCCCCCCCCCCCAGATCACAATCTTAAATCATATTTCATTGCAGTACTCCTTTTTTCTTAACAAAAATTTCACTAGTTTATGTTAAATATTTTATCACATTTTAAATTACATATTATTTCCAATTTTCTATGGTTATTTCTAAATACAAATATAAAAATACAGTCTTATGTACATTTCTAGAATCCCTTTATCAATAAAGTTTATCCATTATCTCTAAAAAACTTTTGCTTCTTAACATCTTGCTCCCCACCATTAGGGCTTCTCATTCCTTCCTTTCTCCCTTGCTTCTTCTTCTCCTTGTCCTCTTTAACCCCTTGTCTCTCCACCTCCCTTTTATTCTGTTTTCCCCCTTTCTGTTGTTTCCTAACATAATGTCCCTTTTTCACCTTATTCTTCTCTTTTTGGGTTGTTTTTCCAGATCTTAGAGTCCTCTTTCCCTTTTTCTCTTTCTTTTTCCCTTCTCCAACCAAAGTCATTTGTTCATCAAAGATGGCTTCTTCTTTGTCCCCTTCATCCTGTTGTTCATTCTGCTTCACATAAGTATAAACCGCCATTTCTAAAAATTGAAAAATAGTGCCAAAACCATCTTTCCCTTCTTGTTTTTCTTTTTCATATTTTTGATATACAAGTTTCAATCCATCCACAAGTAATGCCATTGTGTAGAGAAAAAGTTTTTCCAGACAACCACCCAGATGTTTTTATCAGAAATAATTCTCAAAAGTTCCAAAATCACCAAACAATCCAAACAGGCTGTTTCTTTTAAATACCTTCTTCTTCTTCACTTTCTCTTTCTGGAGTTAAAGTTTAATCACAAAGTTCCCTTTCAAATATATTTTTTGGAAGTCTTATTGATGTTTAGTAACTCTTTAAAATTCTAGGCAATCTTCTCCTTATTTTCAAATTTTGCTCCAATTTTTTCCCCTCTCCCTTCCCACTCACAGCCAAAAGGATTTTTTCCCTCCGCTGTCACTTTAAGAAGGAGAGTGGAACAAAGAAAGAACTTTCCCTTTTAAAATATTCGCAACTTGTAACTCTCACTAGAGACAATACATACTTAGCAGCCTTCAAGTTTCCAGGTCACTTTCTCTTGTCTTGTCCCGGTTAGAAGCAACTTTCACTATTCTTCTGACTTTCTCCCTCCTGCACCTGCTTGTCCGGCTGCAGATTTCTTCGTGGCAGCCATTGCTGACCGCCGTTCCTCTGCCTCGGGAAAAGGGGGTTTAGCCGGCTGGGGAGGGGGTCTGCGACACCCCCAAACCCCTTTCCGGATCCCCCCTGTCTTCAGCTGCCTCTATGGGGCAGCTATATCCCCTGATCCAAACGGATCGGGGGAACCTTGGTGGCGAACGCAGCAGGAATCGCGCGGTATCGCGAATCCCTGC